CAAACTGCCTATTAAACACATATATCAAACATACTTATAAGAAGTATTCTTCGAATAAAAGCCCTTCGATTTCAAATTAAGCGACGACAAAAAAATATGTTCACAATGAGAAACGTTTCACATCAAAAAGTGTATCAAATATGTTGTATCGTTATCAATAATTTGTAAATGTACATTATAAACTTAATGGACCAATGTTGAGGATCTGATATTTACTGGTTTACAAAGCCGTGACTATGTCCAACGGATTGGATGGAGACGGAAAAAAATGAAAAACATAAAAATATCAACACTTATTGTCCGAACAATATTTTGCAGGGCATTATTTGCAATAATCTTTATATGATATAGTTAATTGAGGTTTTATGTGAATAAAAATAATACATATGACATGTTATAAAACTTTTGCTTGAGTCGATATTCCTGTAGACGTCCTTTGAAACGCATATAATTATACACGCAGTATAAATTGGAATGTTATGTGACATGTTTAGCAAACAATGTCAAAACGCATTCAGTAGAGGGAATGCGTAATATGGGGGTAAGGTAGAAACACACAAGCATCAGTCCCCTTAGATAACGGGATTTATTCTACACAAGAATGAATCGTATCAATTTCATATTCGCACGTACAACTGGTTGAACACATCCATATTGTCTGCTCGTAACTATATTGTAAATTGATCGATGAAAAATAAACTACAAAAATACTCTTAACGTAATTGAATTATTGACTTGATTTTTTTAAATGTAAACACTGTGGTTCCATTGAATTCACAAACGTACTGAATACAAGGTGACATTTAAACCTATTATATTGCAAATGAATTCAAATAACGAGACGACCATTTTCTTTTTCGATCACCTAGTAAACAAACACATTTATAGGATCTATCTAAAAATTGCAAGAAAAAGTTTTTGCCGAAATGATTCATCATTGTGAGTTGTTACACATTCTAGTTAGTTGTAAGTAGTTTATATATGTTTTTTTCCTTGTGTACAAGGTTATATTTTCATCATTATTACATAGAATGTTACGAGAAAAAGATAGTAATTTTGGTGACACTCACATTATACATTATCTCATCTACCAATCTGCTGATGAAACAAAAAGTAATGTCCAGCATACAAAGTTTTAGTTTGCAAATGTGTAATGTACGGTATATTATTATTCTGATAATGGTCCTTGGATTTGAAATTGAGCGACGACAAAAAAGTTTGTTTACAATTAAGGACGTTTCATATTAAAAGGTGTATTGTATCTGTTGTATCGCTAACAACAATTTGTAAAAAGAACGTTTCGTCCTTTTTCTAAAAAGGTTCATCGGTTATATTTGATGATATTATCAAAATGTTGGACTTTTTGATCGACAAATATTTGTTGAGTTTGGAGGATTTATATTTCAACATACAGTCGGTATTCCAATGGGTACTAATTGTGCACCCTACTGGCCGATTTGTTTTTGTACTCGTATGAAGCAGATTTTATTCAGAACCTTCTAAAAGACAAAAAGAAAAAGCACCTTACGAAATTCTTTAATTTTACTTTCCGATATATTGATGATGTCCTATCATTGCATAACCCATATTTCAGCCAATACTTACATCTCATATATCCTAGTGAACTTGAAATTAAGGATACTACTGATACTAGAAGGACTGCTTCATACCTTAATCTTTTCCTCAATATTGACACAGATGGACGACTCCACACGAAAATCTATGATAAACGGGACGATTTCAACTTCCCAATTATCAATTTCCCATTTCTCAGCAGTAACATACCCTCTGCCCCTTCGTATGGTGTTCACATATCTCAGTTGATACGTTATGCTCGTGCATGTTCACACTATACGGACTTCATATACAGGAGTGTGCTCCTAACGCAGAAACTGCTCCAACAAAGTTATGAGGAGGACAGATTAAAAATGACACTCCGTAAATTTTACTGACACCATCACGAATTGGTCGATCCATACGATGTGTCTTTGTCAAAACTAACTAAGGACATTTTTACAACGTGTTAGATTGTGGTTTGACATTACGTCGTCTGATCTTTTAATTACCGAACGTGACTTATTCCCGATTGTGACTGTTTTGCTGAGTGTGAATTCGCATTTCTATAAGACGTGTCACGGTACCTTTCTATACAAAATTCATGTATTTAGTTTTGATATTATATTTGTTATTCTCATCGGATTTTGTCAAATGTCTTATCGTTTGTAGTTGTAAATCTTATTTTTTTCTGTTGTATTCGTGTGTTATGGTAAAGATTATTAAGCACTCTGTTCGTTAATTAGATTTAAGTTTGGGTCAACTAAATTTATACGATATATTTGGTTTACAGTTTGATTTAGAAGAAACACCGACATAGCTAAATAATACTATTAATTATCTAATTACTACCACATTTTATATTAATTAGTATTGTAGTTTTCATTGTTGTTGATAAATGTTATATGAGTATTATAAACCAAATCTTGAATTCTGTCCTAATTCTATCCTATTTTGGGGAAATTTCAGAAATTCAAATGTGACGTCACCTATTTTTAGCGTTGATCTCTTTGGCTAACTCGGCTGTGAATTTTTATGTGCTAGTTTATGTTGTTTTATGTATCTGTTTCTATTCTGTAGTTAGTCACCACTTCGGTGTTATCATGTATATCTATTATATAGTCATTTTTATAAATTTACTGTTTACAAAAGTATGAATTATTCTAAATACTAAGGATTTTCTTATCCCAGACATATAACCTTAGCCGTATTTGGCACAACTTTTTGGAACTTTTGGTCCTCAATGCTCTTCAACTTTGTATTTGTTTTGGCTTTCGTACTTTTTTTATCTGAGCGTCACTGGTTAGTCTTGCGTCTTGCGTATTAAATTTTAAACCTGGTACCTTTTGTTAGCTATTATTCGTATATTTCTCTGTCCTTTATGTTCTCCCATTTATTTGTATTGTAGTCCTGTCATGTAATGTTGTCATTTTGATGTTATATTTAACATTGCCATAAAAGCGGGAGGTTTGGCTAGCCACAAAACCAGGTTCAACCCACCATTTGTTTCTTAAAATGTCCTGTACCAAGTCAGGAAAATAGCCATTGTTATATTATAGTTCTTTTCTCTGTGTGTTTCATTTTAATGTTGTGTTTCTGTTGTGTCGTTGTTCTCCTCTTATATTTAATGTGTTTCCCTCAGTTTTAGTTTGTAACCCGGATTTGTTTTTTTTCCCAATCGATTTATGAATTTCGAACAGCGGTATACTACTGTTGCCTTTATTCATCGGAAGATACCAAGACCTTGTTGATAAATATTTCGTATCAACTTCACAAATAGTACACGATGGTCTTGAAGTATAGATTCTGGGTACTGATGTTGTTTATCATCTTAATAACGTGTTATAGTATTCTTTATTTTGTCTTCATGAATATTATTTTTACTGTTTAGTCTATTTTGGTGATATTCATTTGACGCGGCTCTGTACTTATACATCCCGTCTTTGTGCTATTGTGCTATGGTAAATTTTTGTATTCTTGTCTTTCATTTTTGCTAATGTGCTTTGTCTATATGCCTTTTTGTGTTTCTTTGTCACATATTTGTTTGTTTTATAGTGATTAAGATTATAACAAAATGTTGACCACTGTTCCCCTATTTTTGACATTTTTACCTATTATGTCTGTTTGCTTTGTTCACACATCGTTGTCAATATAATGAAATTTTATCGACTGTCATACAAGTGAGAGGTTTAGCTAGCTATAAAACCAAGTTTAATCCACCATTTTTCACATAAGAAAATGCCTGTACTAAGTCAGGAATATGACAGTTGTTTTCCATTCGTTTGATGTGTTTGAGCTTTTGATTTTGCCATTTGCTTAGGGACTTTCCGTTTAGAATTTTCTTCGGAGTTCGGTATTTTTGTTATTTAATTTTTTTTGTAAAAAAACATAATGAACTTAATAGACAAATGTTGTAAGATCGGACGTTTACTAATCTGAACAGCCGTGACCATGTCCTACAGTTTGGGAGGAGACAAAAAAGGAAAATGATTAACAAGATAAACACGTAATTGTGCAAACAAAATTTTGCATGGCATTGTTTACAATTAACTCGTATATGATATAGTTAATGTAGGTAAGATGGGAACTGAAAATTATGCATATGACATTTTATAAAAACTTCGCTGCAGCCGATATGTCTGCAATCGCATTTTAAGACGAAGCATGAACTTGATTTTTATGTGGCATGAATAGCAGCTGTTGTTAAGAAGCATTCAGTAGAGTGAAGGCGTAATATCAGGTTAAGGAAGTAACAAACAAGAATCAGTCATTTAGATAATTGTATATATTTAATACATGAATAAATAGAATTAATTTTATATTCTCACGTACAACTTGTTTAACACATCCATACATTGTGCATGCACCCATATTGTAAGTTGATTGATGAAAATAAAATACTAAAATTCCCTAAACATAATCAAATAATTGACTTGATGTTTTTTAAATGTACAAGCAAATGATTGCATTGAAATATATGAAGCTGACATTTAAACCTATCATCTTGCAAATATATTTTAAAATAAGGAGAGCACAATTTTATTAATTGACCACCTAGTCAACAAATAGAATACAGTGTCACTAAAATTTCTTTCAAAAAATCAATTGTAGAGTTGCAAGAAAAAGCATTTTGCCGAAAAGATTCATCATTGTGAGTTTAACACATTGTAGTTAAGCGTAGGTAGATTATCATTGTTCAGTTTGCTTGTACAAAGTTACATTTAAATGACATATTTATTCAAGAGAAAAAGAGATTTATTCAGGTAACACCAGTATCAAAATTTATCTTAAATTCAATTATGTTTTTTTTCGTAAATTTACCAGATAACATAGTGGTTTTCTTCATACAACAACCAAGATTTAAACCAGCTTGAAATGCCATATATTTGGCAATATAACTATATACATGTATAACTAACAATTGGTTTTGACCGTTTCAGTGACAATCTGTTGTTGACTTAAATATGGAATATTTAGCAAAGAAATAAAGGAAACTTAAGTATGGGGTCTCTTTCTGTAGAGGAAGAAAACTATGTTCGAATGAGTTTATTACTAACAGGAATTTCTCCACGTGCCGCTAGAACCTTCTTTGATAGTGAATTTGCTCCAGCATGTTTGGATGCGACAATAAAGAAAGAGTATAACAAATTGCTCGACTTGAAGAAGAAACATAGAATCAACCAATCACAGTGGAACCATCTGTTTCCAAGATTTCCTGGTAAGAACAGAATATTGAATAAAAACTAAAATACCCTTTTCAAGATTTTTAAGATTCCAAGTTAATATATAGAAAACCTTGCTGTTCCAGATTCTAAAACTTTTGATGTGTCTTAAGTATCTGATTTATTTTCCTGATGACTCGACTTTAAGATTCTGATTCTTCTTAAACTTTTGATGTGACTTTTACTTTCAGCTATTTTTCCCAGGTGTTCCAGATTCTAAATCTTTTGATGTGACGTTGATGACAACATTACTGAGGAATTTGATTCCCTTAAACCCTCCCCTTTGTGGATTTGACTGTTTACCTACTATCATGGAAACCACCCAAGCTGCAGACTTGGCAAGAATAAAACACTACAGAATTTTTTTAGCTCATTTGGAAGATGGCAAAATAGACACTTCAGTTTTCAACACAGCCTGGACTGATATAACTGGAGTATGTATTTAAAATTTTCATTTTACTGAATATATGTAATTAAGTCACCTGATGGAGGACATTTGTATAGACACCTTATACAATTGTATTTGCCATTAAATAAAGGCAATCGAAACTATTTCAGGACATGACCTTTTTTAACCAAACTGGATGCCCCACCTAAATGGTCATGGATGAGTGCCGAACCAAGCACATGTTGTATACTATGCCTAGGTGCGACCATTTGATCTTCTGAGGATTTATGCGCCATTAAATAAAGGCAACAGTAGTATACCGCTGTTCAATAGTCATAAATCGATTAAGCGAAAACAAATCCGGGTCACAACCAAAACCGAGGGAAACACATTAACACATGTATGAGACTTATTTTCCGTCAGGTACTGAATACTAGGTATTCCGGGCACTCTGCATCATACCAGATGCCAAATGATATATTTTCATTAGTTAAAGGAACTAAGAAGGCTTGCCTATGCTGTGAAGTGACACTTTATTTGAAATGCAGAATTGCTACTCTTGTCTTAAATGTGCCAACATTCTTGCATTATGGTGGATTGATGTGCATCTGCTGAATAATGCCAAACTTTGCATCTCTGAAATTTATTACTAGAATTGCAATCTGCATTTATATTTGAAAAAGCAGGAATAAACTGCTTTCATGTGAAACTTTTCGAATAATAACCAACATATTTTAGCCTAAAACATTTCATTATACGCAAGGATTTGATGTCTTCTTTATTAACATTTATCTAAAATTTTAACCACAACCCTATTATTATTCATATTAGATAAAATGTTGTTTTTCTCTATAATGAAAATAATTTTCCAATAAGTAACCAAGACAGTGTAATAGGTATTATTTTTAAGTATGATATATATTAAACATAATTCAACCGAACACCTTCAGAAAATCCCTTATATAAAATCATTGCATCTTGCTTGTTTGGATGATTAAAAAAGTGCTTATTTTATTCTGTAACATTAATAAAGCCACGACACCATACGCCTAACTGAAAAATTCTGAAAAAGATTAAATTTAAGGGTTGTTAAATATTTGTGTTCATCCATTATTGATCATGAAATCTGCTTCATCAGGTTCTAAATCCATGAGTCGAGTCAACTGCTCGTTTAAAAAAATATGTTGAGTCCTAAGTTCAAATTATCAAAATAGGTTTCGCTGTATTTTAATATATTCCCATGTTTGCATTTTGAAAGCAAGGATAACTTTCATTGTTTTACTTGTTATTTGTTTACTTGAATAGAAAGCGAAAGGGTGTGTCAATTCGCATTTTAAACATGAATAGGTATAAAAACAATTATGTCAGTAATAAGCACCCTTAAAGTCAAATTCCAGCATGTTCGATTACAAAATGTGCCAACACTTGTCTGATTTCCCATTTGCTATAACAGTCTACCGTAAAATGCCTTCAATAGAAGACCAAGATCTTGTAAGATTGTTTGCATTTATTACATTAGTTGCTGATCATACCGGTAAATCTTCTCGAAATAAACATTTGTACCTCTAATTATTGACATAAGTAATCAATTCAAATAACATAAACAACCATTTAAATTTCGATTCATCTCCCCATTTAGTAAGTGTTCTACTACTTATCTGTCAGTGCTTCTAACTGCCTTCCTTACTATTATAAAAAAAAACTTATTAACTTTTGTAATAAAGTTTATGAAAATAATGGTATTAATTATTCATGGATTGTTAAATTTTCTTAAGAGGTTTTAGATAAAATACATGCTTTTGATGGTTCTTTTAATTCTGTTGACAGTTATGATTTTTCTACTCTCTACACTACACTTCCACACAATCTTATCATGAAAAAGTTTTTATATTTAATTGAATGGTCTTTTGAAAATTCTTATTGCAAATGTATTTGCAGTAACTCGTTAAAAGCCTTTTTCTGTAACGAAAAAGGAAAGTATGCTAGATACACTTACTGGAAATGTGAAGATATGATTGAAGCTTTTAATTTTCTCCTGGACAACATATAGGTACGTTTCGGCAAAAAAAGTGTATCTACTTAGATTAGACATTCCCATGGCACTTTTTTTGCCCCTTTAATAGCAGATTTATTACTGTATGGCTATGCATCGCAGTTTATGGCCAAACTCAGTAAAACACGTTACTGTTATATTTGGTTGACACGTTCAACAGTACCTACCATTATCTTGATGATACTTTTCGTTAAATAATCAAGAGTTCTCTAGTTCTACTACCGAAATTTACCTAAAGATAAATCTAACATAAACAGCAGTATTTGTCCTTTTCTATGATTAGACATTTCAATTTCTAAAAGGAAACTGCCTGTCGATACTTTAATTTTGGCCTTGCACAAGTCATGCCTTATTTGACTGTCCATGGCGTTAAATCCCTTGAATGTGTTTTAATTGATTGTAGTCTCTGATGCCTGATTTTTTATTGTTAATTGTTTTTGGCTTTGAACTAGCTTTGAACTAGCTTTCAGTAACTGCAAGTACTCTTTAATCGTACTTTTGTGTTAATTTGACCTGTTGACACAATTTGTAATGCTAACTGTAATTCAACGTCTACTTATTATGTGTTATATCTCGTCTAACTATTTTTTTATATGTACCACCTTTGATAAGTATTGGGTATGACGATATATTTTCACTTCTGTGCTCGTACTGTGAAAAACAAATCTATTAATTTTGTAAAAGATGTTTACCTTCGCTCTCCTAACAAAAAAAATATTATATTTAAATTTACCTGTGAACGTTGTTTTATTAAGCGCCACTTTTTTTTGTCTTTTTGACACTGTTCCTACATCTTTTTTTTATTTATTAAGGTTGTATTTAAATTGTTTCGTACACTACCAAAAATTATATCACACATTTATTATAGATTTCTACCCTACTGAAAGGCTACATGATAAAAAAAGTAATGTTCTACTTTTGGTAAATTCAGTACTGATTGCAAATTTCGTAACAAATTTAAGAGTTTCAAATTTTGGCATTATTCAGCAGATGCACATCAAGCCACCATTCTGTAAAAATGTTGGCACATTTAAGACTGGAGTAGCAATTCTGCATTTCACAAAGTAAGTGTCACGTCACAGCATAGCCAAGGCTTTTTAGTTCCTTTAACTAATGAAAATATATTATTTGACATCTGGTGTGATGCAGAGTCCCCGGAGTACCTAGTACTCAGTACCTGACGGAAAATAAGTCTCATACAAGTGTAAATGTGTTTCCCTCGGTTTTGGTTTGTGACCCGGATTTATTTTCGCTTAATCGATTTATGACTATTGAACAGCGGAATACTACTGTTGCCTTTACTTAATGGCACATAAATCCTCAGAAGATCAAATGGTCGCATCTAGGAGTAGTATTCAACATGTGCTTGATTCGGCACTCATCCATGACCAGCTAGGCGGAGCATCCAGTTTGGTTAAAAAAAGGTCATGTCCTGAAATCGTTTCGTTTTGTTGACAATGATACATAAATTAACAAAGGACTACTAGCAGTTACTGACATGCCAGCACCAGACCTCAATTAAACTGATTGAAAGATTATGTATTCATCATATGAAAATCAAGCACAATCCGTCCCGTTAGGGATTTAGTATCATACCATCATAAAATGTATAAGAAGAACATAACCCGTATCATGCCAACAACTGGTATTAGAATAAATGTGTTTATTTCCGATGCAAAGACCCTATGAGTGAATAAATATTAATACCAAAATATGGAACGGAGACCCAGTTATTTCCCCCATTACTTCAATGCAATTTTATCCAAATTGAATGGCAGTTTTTTATTCCCTATATTAGACTGCAAAATTTCAATTACTTTTTCATACTAGTAGCCCCCTCCATGGTTTCTTGGAGAATTCTTTAAGGGTCATGACCGGCATTTAAGAGAGCAATACTAGTTAGAGTATAAAAAGGGTAATTTTATTAACTTCCTGATTAAAATCGAAAATAAAATTTGGACCATTTACGCAGACAATCATCCACCCTATACATTTCAGAATCACTTAAAATTTAACAGAAGTTGAAAGTATAATGAAAACCTTTTGGATATACGACAAATTTAAGCATCTTTTCATAATTTTCATCTCGGTACAATATACCATTTAAAAGTTGATTTCTTAAGGGACTTCGTTCGTCGGTACTGGACTGGTATCCTGTAACTGGGGTCCTATTCCTATCAGATCTCATGATCATCTAAAAAAGAAGAAAAAATTATCTTCAATAAAACAATTTGTTTTATGTCTAAGTCTTTGTTTTGTGGATTTTAAAGCCAGAAACAAGAGGCCACCCCTTCACTCCAAAAAGAGCATATTTTCAGCCAAAATTTAATTTTGACCAAAGAAGTCTCAAAATAATTTTTCCTTATCCCATTCAATTTGCCAGCTCTAAATATATATAAAAGCATGTTCTCTGTATTACGAGCAGCAAAAACCTAATTTTAGCTTCAGAGATTTGCAAATTTATGTAAAATGAGATATCTTTGATATATGTATACCATGGCTTAAATTTCTATTTCTCGTCAACTTCCACCAAAGAAAAAGAAAATCAGGCATGGATATGTAAAGAGTACTAGTAAAATGCATACGTAATCAGTTTCAGAATTCAATATTTACATGAAAACCTAATGAAAGAGTGTATTGGGCTTTGTTACAATATGATATAATTTGGGTGCGTTTCTTTAGAAACGATAAATATGCTATAATTTGCCTTTTTTTTTTTTTGCCAAAATTGAATATTGTATGAAAGAAAGAGTCACATCAGCAAGTCTTGCAACAAAAAACTTATTCTCATATTTAGAAAAAGAAAAATCCTCTCTAAATATTGACTATTTTGACCAAAATTATCAAAATTTAGCAGATTTTTTATTAACCATCTCATATAAAATTGCACATTACAGGTAAACTATGACTTTTAATTACAAAACTAGGACTGTATGGCCCTAACAATATATCAAGCTTATCACAGAATTGATCAGTTTTATTGGTGGCTATAT